ACAGTAAAATAAAAAAAATTCTTAAATTTTATATTTTCTTCTATGAGGTAGTAGATTTTAGACTGAAATGATTTTCTACCAATTGGTTTCTCAATAACAATATTCCTTATAATTTTATCTTTGAACACTGAATGTATTTCCATGTATTAACTACCTCTTGTTTATTAATGACTGTATTGAATTAAATCCAGATAACATGACCTGCACTATCTCTATGAATTTTTAAAATTCATTAGGTTTTTTTTTTTTGGTTACCAATTTGATGATCAAGTTTTGCAAATGATTAAAAGGAATAAGAGAAAATCCATTATTCAATGAATGTAAGACTTTATGTATTTATTGGTTATATGTTCATTATATTTTTTTAGTTCTTCCCTATCTTATTTAATGTTTTAACCTAATAAAAATAGAGCTCAGTTCTTAGAGAAGTGTGCTGGTATGTCTCACTGCAGCTGCAAGCTTCTCACATTCTTCCTGTTCTAATTTTGCTTGTCTTTATTTCATTGAATGCCCATTAATGACAAAAGTTTTTGCTCATGAATTTTAGAATTGTGTGTAGTGATGGCTTTCTTTCTTTGTATTAACTGCAATTTCTTATTATTTAATCTTTTTGCATAAATATTGTCACTCCTCATTAATTGAAGGTATATATTACTGTTACCACTTCCTCTATACCTTCTTTTCCAATCATGGTTTCTAAACTTTTATTTTTTTTTGGGTGTATGTCAATAAATATATAAATGGCACATAGAAAATACACACATATGTAGTTTGTACACATACATGTATGAAATGGGAAACTTCAAAAATCATGTTTTAACTCTTGTTCTTAATCTAACACATTCTTTAAATTTTTACTGTGAATATTAGTTATACAAAAGATTTCATTGTGATATTTCTGTACATGCATACAATGTACTTTGATCAAATTCACTTCCTCTACTAGTGCTTCTTATTCCTTTTTATGCTCAAAACAATTTTAATGTGTTTAATTATTTTATTTTCATACATGATTATGAAGTAATTTGAACATATTCATCCTCTTCACCCTTTCCTTTTATCTTCTCCCCTCCAACTGGTTCCACCACTTAACAGTCCCCATTTTGCATTTATTCATTTTATTTTTATGTCTAGATTCCACAAAGGAGCTGAACTATGCATTGTCTTTCTCAATCAGCTTTATTTCACTTAAAATGATGTTCTTCCAGTTGTGTCGATTTTTCCTGCTAATGACATAATTTTATTCTTATGACTGAAAAGAACTCCATTATGTATAGGTATATATGCCACAGTTTCTTTATCCATTCACTGGTTGATGGCTCTAACAGGCTCTTTTTATGAACAAAGTCTTCAAAAAGGAAGGTTATACCAACTTATTCTTTCAAGGCTATGAACCCACAGCAATTAGTAATATCCTCATTATTTTTGACTATCTGACAGTTGAACTTTATTTCCTCTTGATTTTATTTCTATATTTTTAAATGCAAGATATTAAGAAATTTTCTACTTAAATTCGTGTTTCTTATTTTCCCTTCAGTTTTCTATCCTTACCTTTATTTTCTTCACTCAATGCACTGCAATATATATATGTACACACACATAATATACACATATATATGTATGTGGGTATATATAATAGGAAGTACCCCTGCATGGCTAATAATTTATTCTTTTGAGGTTTTTAGGGTTTGGTTTAGAAAACTTGCTCACTACAGTATTGCAAACAAAGTACACCATGCAGTCTTAGACACTGTTATGATTTAATTTTCTACATTGACATCTTCGTTGCATCTGGAATTAATTTTGATGTGAAGAGTGGTTTAGAGAAGTGTTGCTTCTTTATGGGTATATATTCAATTGGCCCAATATGGGTATTTGGACTTCTGCATATGGCAAATATTTTCTAAAAACTGAATGGAAATGAGCCTGCCATTTCCCCTCAACTCACCTTGACCATATATGGTACATATGTGTACATATATTCACAAAATATGTACAAATATACACATATTTGATGGTACTGGGGTTTTAATTCAGGGTTTTGTGCTTGCTAGGCTGTCACTCTACTGCTTGCCATACCTACAGTCTTTTTGCTGTTTTTTGGGGTTTTGTTATTGTTTTTCTTTATGAGATGGGGGTCTCACTTTTTTCCCAGGCCCAGGTCCACTTACTTTAGGCATCCCACCATAGATAGGATGACAACCTTGCATGACTACATCTTGCTTTTTTCTATTGAGATGGGGTCTGATAAATGTTTTTGTCCAGCTTGGCCTTGAAAGAAGGTCCTCCCCATCTCAGCCTCCCAAGTAGGTAGGGTTACAGGTGTGATGCACTAGTGCCTAGGTCACCTTGACTATATTTATTACCAATAATAAAATCCATATTTATTAGAGAAAAAGTAGTAATGGCTTCTCAACAGTTAACAGGCTCTTGTGAAGATATTGGTGGTGAACTTGCTAAATGTGACTTCCTTGTATTTTGTGATGAAACCTACCAACATCTAGTAGATTTGCATAACTCAGTGAGTTTATAATGTCAAAATGACTAATGCATGATTTTGTAAAATCATGCAAAATAAAATATACATTTAAAGGGAACTAGAACTATGGGTTTTAAAGTAGCAGAGTTAGAAAGTTCACTGATGTGGTTTTAGATAATACTTTGCAAAAACATGTTGAGAAGCTACCATATGTAGAGTTTAGTGTAGTTTCAAAGAAGAATAAGCACAATTATCTGAAAAGGATATTGAAATACCCTTCCTTTTACACTAAACATTTGTGTGGGACTAGATGTTCTTCATGTATTACAAAACATGTTGCTGTAGATTGCATGTGGAGACTGATATTGTAATCCAGCTGACTCTTTTCCCCTAAACCAGATATTAAAGGGATTTGCAGAAGTAAAACACTGCCACTCTGTCATTTTTTATTTTGCAAAGTGCAAATTTTCTGATTAAAGATTTTGCTTATGTTAATGTATTTCAAATTTATTAATATAACATAATGAGATAATGCTTGGTGTAGCATTTTTAATACAATAGCTATAAACAATGTAATCCTAATACACAAAAGCTATTTGAATCTTCAATAATTTTAATAATATAAAGGTGTTCTATAGCCAAAAACATGGTAGCTGCTGCTCTGTATCATCGTTCCTTTTCTGCTTCTCTCACTTTTTCTTTTTCTTTTCCTCCTACTCATCCTCTTCCTCCTCTCTTTCCCTCCCCCGACATCTTCTCATTTTCCTCCTCAGCTCCTGAACAGTGTTATGTAATAGTTAGTGTTATGGAATGTAATTGTTGTATGTTAACAACATATTTTGCATATTGAAGATGCCTACCCTATTTCCATGGCTTTTTTTTATACGAAACTAACATTAATATCCTGAAACATTATTTTTCCAAATCACCTTTATTATTATATAGTAATATTCAAGAAAAACTTGGTGTTTTAATTGATATTTTGGTTATATCTTACATAATAGCATAGATACATATCTGTTATCTTAAAGACAAGGAAAATTTTTCCATACAAAAATTTAAAACCCCCATGTATCATGAATATATCCTAATAAAAATTTATTGAAAAAATTAAAAATTACACACACACACAAAAGTTTCATTTATTTATTTAAAATTCTTTAATTGTTTATTTGTTGATTTTGAAATTTAAAATAATATAGAACTCTAGATTCCTGACTGGAAATATTGGTAAAATTGAACCATTGTCATTGCCACACCTTTTCTTTCTATGGAAGATAAGGTATGTGTGTGTGAACTGCTTAAAGTCAGAAATCATACCACTTACATTTTTATGCAGATAGTGTTGGATAAATATTTGCTATTTCATTTCATTTATTAATGTCTAAGTAACATTTTCATTGCATTCACCATTAAGGGTAACCATTATATTCATGCTGATATTTTAAAGATACGGTGTTTTCAAAGAAAATTTACTTCCATTAGATAATAAATTTTAATGCATATTATATGAAAAGAGATATTGACAATGGCAGTATTATTGGATTTCAATTTTGAGGACTCATTCTTCAGTTTCATTCTCCATGTTTTATTATATGTAGTTGGCCAGAGGATTTCTATCAGCAGTTTTGATATTAAAATAAAAATATATATACAATAGAGAAAAAAGCAAATTGTTTTTATTTTCTATTTTATATCAATTTACAATATCAGCATGTGGTTTTTGTTCAGGTTTTATATACTAAAATACAAAATTAAGTTGATATCCAGTCATTATTGCTAGCAAAAACTAAATCTGCCACACACAGCTGTGTTTTAAATAATGGTATTGTTTATAATGAAATGTTTTAGAATTTCAAAGTGTTTGGCAATTTAATAGAAATGTTCTCCTTGAAAAAGCTTACACATTTTTGAAAATAATTATTGATGTAAAGTGAATTCTAATTATCAAAATAGACAAATAATTTGTGAGCTTATTAAAGCAAAGCCATTAAAGAAAAAAAAATCTCTTTTAACAACCAGGTGTATAAAATTATACATCATCTCAATAAACCATTATGATAATATGCCTAAATTATTCAAATCAAATAGGAAATTTAAAGTAAAATAATGAAGCATATCCAAAAAAAATTAGACTAAATAAATAAAAAGTGTCTTACGAAGTATGAAAAACATGAAAGAAAAGTTTAAATGCTTAACAAAAAGAGAAACTAATTCCTATTTCTAATATATTTGTGATGCTTCACTCCCTTTGGTGTTATATTTTATATTGTCCTCCTCTTGATTACACAACTGATTAATTCAATGAAGTTGAATCTGAACTATGTGCACTATATCATCATGGCGTTACACTTAAAATTTTATAATTCACTTGTGTGTATACTATTTGAATTTCTCAGTAATTTGATAAGAAAGGTAATGCAGCAGCTCTGACAGCAAACTCTTCAAATGAGTAATTGCAGTTTGATTATTCTGTGGGAAAACCAAGCTAAAGTAACAATCTTTGTTGATGCTTGCTCAGATCAGGTGGACCAAAACAGCAGGAAGTGCCTCTGACAGATTCCAAGACTCAAGTGTCTTCAATGAGACTTTGAGGATTACAAATATTCAACGACACCAAGGAGGCCGGTATTACTGTAAAGCAGAAAATGGATTGGGGTCCCCGGCAATAAAGTCAATCAGAGTGGATGTGTACTGTAAGTAAATTTCCCAGAAAACTATTATTCTGCTGAGTTTGGGTTTCTTCTGTCCTACAACTAAGGTTTTCTCAAAAAACATAAATACAGTACTGATTAGTTGAGAATGAAAAGTATATAAGCTAAGACAGCTCTTTTAATACATTTCTAAAGAAAGACATGGCCAGTAGAAATTTTCATGAAGTTTTATGATATGATGCGTATTTACTAGAGAACATTTAACAACATTAATATGGAGATATAAATGTTACTGATAATTCCCACAATAACTTAGTGTTTAAATGTATATGTTTTTATCTTTATATATGTGCATATATATGTATATATGCATACATTCATTCCTTTTCTTTTTAATTCTTTACACTTTTAAAATTTTTTTCTTTATTCATTTATTCATTTATTCATATGTCTATACATTGTTGGGACCATTTCTCCCACCTGACCCTCACCCCCTCTTTCTTCCTCTACCTCCCTCACTTCCAAGCAGAACCTGCTCTGCTCTTTTCTCCCATTTTGTTGAAGAGAAGACATAAGCAATAATAACAAAGACAAAGTGTTTTTGCGAATTGATATTGGATAGCTATACAGAGAGATTCCTAGTGTTGCTTCCATGCAAGTGTGTTACAGCCCAAATTGATTCATCTCTACCAGATCTCTTCACTATTTCCCGGTCACCTTCCCATAGTGACCTCTGTCATTTTAAGGTTACTGTATTAGCTCCTCTGCAGTGAGGACATCAAACACTTTCAAGTTTTGGGTTCCCTACCTATCCCCATTCCTCCCATATATGCTCTCCCTTTGTCATGTGACCCAAGTCCAACAACATTACTGCATTTTCCCTAGATCTAAAGTCTGCATATGAGGGAAAACATACAATTTTTGGTCTTCTGAGCCTGGCTAACCTTGCTCAGAATGATGTTCTCCAGTTCCATCCATTTACCTGTGAATGATAACATTTCGTTCTTCTTCATGGCTGAGTAAAATTCCATTGTGTACAAATACCACATTTTCTTACTCCATTTGTCAGTGGTGGGGCATCTTGGCTGTTTCCATAACTAGGCTATTGTGAATAGTGCTGCAATAAACATGGGTGTGCAGGTTCCTCTGGAGTAACCTGTTTCACATTCTTTTGGGTATATCCCCAGGAGTGGGATTGCTGGATCATATGGCAGATCTTCTTTTAAGAAGCCTCCATATTGTTTTCCAGAGTGGTTGTACTAGCTTGCATTCCCACCAGCAGTGTAGGAGGGTTCCTTTTTCTCCAAATCCTCACCAACACCTGTTGTTGGTGGTGTTTCTAATGATGGCTGTTCTAACAGGGGTGAGGTGGAATCTTAGTGTAGTTTTGATTTGCATTTCCTTTATGGCCAGAGATGGTGAGCATTTGTTCATGTGTTTTTTGGCCATTTGAATTTCTTCTTTTGAAAAAGTTCTGTGTAGTTCAGTTGCTCATTTCTTTATTTGTTCATTGATTTTGGGGGAGTTTAGTTTTTTGAGCTCCCTGTATATTATGGTTATCAGTCCTTTGTCTGAGTATACATGCATTTCAATACAGAAGATTATGTTATTTGCACTCTAAGTATGTCTGTTTATTTTACCTATGTATGAATACAACTATTTTATTTTTTAAAAATGCACCTTGTGTCTGTAGACAAAGTTATCTTGATTGGGTCATGAATGATCAAAAATCTCTGCATAGAGTCTGTTTTTGATCTAACTCTGTTGAAAGTAATTAGCACCAACCCTAGGAAATGCTATATCACCTGAAAAGTGTTGGTTGATTTATTTTTGTTCTCAGTAACATTTTCTTACTTTTCATTCTTGGCAAGTATATTTAAAATCTTCGTGGTCTCCTTACTTCTTCACCAAAGAAGCCAAGAACCTACATTCACTTTAGTCTTTTGCACAGATTTATCTATTACTCTTATTTTTTTTTCAAGAAATTGCATTCATTTTTAAGTCTCTATTTTTAGAATATATTTTAATTCAGCTATAATAACAAGTGAAGAGTTCTTGTTTTTCCTCTTATTTTCCTTTCTTTTCTCTTCTTTACATGTGTTTTTATTTTTATTTTTTTCGGGTGCTAAGGTTTGAACTTAGGGCTTTGTGCTTGCTAGAGCAAGATCTTCAATTGAGCCAGAGCTCCAATCCTTTCCCCCTCCCTTTTCTTTGACTAAAGCACAGGTATTGACATGGTAAGAATAGTCTAGAAGTTACATGTTGTCTATTCACCAGACCCTATGTTGAATCTTAGTTATTAAGATAACTTGGATGTGAGTCACAGAGCAGCATTTGTGATTCACCTTCCACATTGGGTACTTATATACTTCCTGGATAGGAAAAAAGTCCCTGCTCTATTTTCTCTAGTATTTTTCATCTCCTGAGGAATACCCTAGCATAATTTAAGCAAATTCAACCCATGTGCCACTCTCTTTTCCAATAGGCATACAGGTTGGCTGTAGATCTATGCTTTGCATCTGTGGCAAAGCTGCTGGTCTCCACATATTTCTATAATTTTGCTCAGAAAATTACATATTTTTTATTTTGAGGTATTGGAGTTTGAACTCAGGGCCTACACCTTGAGCTACTGCACCACCTCCTCCCCCATTTTTTTTTAATGAAGGGCTTTTTCTTTTTTTTCTTAATTTCCTTTATTCATATGTGCATACAATGATTGGGTCATTATTCCCTTTCCCCCACCCCTTCCTTTTTTTCCCCACTCCCTCCTTCTCCCCCACTACCCCCTAGCTTCCAAGCAGATACTGTTTTGCCCTTATCTCAGGGGTTTTTGCTAGTTGAGATAAGGATAGCTATATAGGGAGATTCCTAGTTTTGCTTCCACGTACATATGTGTTACTTTCTAAATTGATTCTTCTCGAACTAACCTTTTCTCTAGTTTCCAGTCCCATTCTCCTATTAGCCTCTGTTACTTTTTTTTTTTGTTTCTCATGATAGTGATTTTATTTTTATTTATTTATATTATGTGCATACATCCCTTCCCTTCCCTCCCCTCTTCAGTTTCAGGCAGGTCCCATTCTGCCCTTGTGACTGACTTTGTTGAAGAAAAGACATAAGCATAATAAGAAAGACAAAGTGTTTTTGCTAGTTAAGGATAGCTATACAGAAAGATTCCTACTATTACTCTCATGTACGCATGTGTTACATTAGTTCCTTTGCATTAAACACATCTAATGCTATCTTTTTTTGGGGGGGGGTTACCTACCTATCCTCATACTTCCCTTGTGTGTACTCACCTTATCATGTAATCAAAGTCCTATCCCCTTGTTGTGTTTGCCCTTGATCTAAAGTTCACATATGAGGGAGAACATACGATTTTTGGTCTTCTGGGCCTGGCTAACCTCGCTCAGGATGATGTTCTCCAGTTCCATCCATTTGCTTGAGAATGATAAGATTTCATTCTTCTTCATTGCTGTGTAAAATTCCATTGTGTATAAATACCACATTTTCTTAATCCATTCATCAGTAGTGGGGCATTTTGGATGTTTCCATTACTTGGTTATTGTGAATAGTGCTGCAATAAACATGGGTGTACAAGTACCTCTGGAGTATCCAGAGGAGTGATATTGCTGGATCAAATGGCAGGTCTATGTTTAGATTTTTAAGAAGCCTCCACATTTTTTTCCAGAGTGGTTGTACTAGTTTATATTCCCACCAGCAGTGTATATGGGTTCCTTTTTTTCCACTTCCTCACCAACACCTGTTGTTGGTGGTGTTTCTAATGATGGCTGTTCTAACAGGGGTGAGGTGGAATCTTAGTGTAGTTTTGATTTGCATTTCCTTTATGGATAGAGATGGTGAGCATTTTTTCATGTGTTTTTTGACCATTTGAATTTCTTCTTTTGAGAAAGTTCTGTTAAGTTCACTGGCCCATTTCTTTATTGGTTCATTAATTTTGGGAATTAAAGGGTGTTTTCAAGATAGGGTCTTGCAAACTATTTGCCCAGGCTGGCTTCCAATTGCAATCCTCTTGATCTCTGTCTCCTGAGTAGCTAAGATTGCAGGTGTGTGCCACATGTGCCAGGCTTAATATATAATTTCAATCAAGTAAATTTGTTTAAAATGAATTAATTATTTCTGTAATATAACTTTCTAGAGTACATACCTCTTTTTGTAGTGTAGGTCATGAAGTTTTAAATATTTATATATTAATATCTCTAATACAATTTTAAAATCTAAAAGTTCTACAGTGCATAGGTGGTTTTTTTGTTTTATTTTGGTAACATTTGTCAGTATAGCCTGATGTCAGCTAGTTTTGTAACAAAATATGACCTGAAACTACTTGAATAGAGAAATAGAAAAGATGTTATGCTGTTTATTTTCCCTACTTTGTATAAATAATCACATTTTCCACAGAAAATATGTTTGATTACAGAGACTAACCCCAAATCCTGCTATGTATGTTATATAATATATGGTATATGTGCTATATTATGTTTTTCAAGCAGCAAACTACTGAATAAAATTGCCCACAGATTTCAAATAAGAGATTGTGACATACATTGCTGCTGCAATAGGTTTAATAATAATTAAAATGCTTATATTGTTGGGTAAAAAGATCAAATACAAGGATAGAAAATCACATTTTAGAGACTTAACCATAATCTCTCCTTTAACTACAAATTTTTTCAGTAATGTTCTGCATTGTACTTCTTTCTGTCTCCATCCTGCTTTTCAGACTAGGTGGTGCCTAAGAGGTTCATACTGCACAACTTGCTAGAATTATTGTGCACTTCACTCCATGTCCCCAGTCCTATCAGTAGAATATCCTCCATGCAGTCATGCCTGAAGGCACTGACTCCATTTCCTTCTCTTTTGACTTCTTTTGGGTCTTTTCCTTTGCAACCTGGACCTAATTAACATTTTCTGTTACTTAAGTAAAATATCACGGCACTGTAGATTGTATTTGTTAGAATAAACGAATGGCAGGGAATGGATTGGCTAGAAAAGGTTCATATGCCAGCACAGGTTTTATTGTGGAG